GTCATCTTCCGAGTTTTATTTACCTTACCTCCCTAGATAGCGCAAAAGTTCTCTTAGCTCCTTACCTCTTCGCAATTTACAGAAGCAAAGCAAATAACACTCTCTGCTCAAAGGGAATTCATGGTAATTATCGAAGCCGAAATTTCAAACCGGAACTCTAAAACATTGTCATAAACTTTTTAATCGAGCTTAGTTCTCAATAGGTTTGAAAAGGAAAAATCCAATATGGCAACCTCGTTGGTTTCTGGTAAAAGTTCTTCATCATCCGTTGCGTTGAAACCGAAACGTAAACGTAAACCGATGTCTGCGGGCCTTGTAGCTTTTAGATAACCAAAGTTATCTAGCTCAATGTCAAGATCGATGTCTGCCAGATGTGAAAATATGCCAGTTGGACCAATTAGTCATTATAATCGTGTTTGTTAGATTTGTATTATCCGTCAGATCTCTACGTCTCCATGGCAACTTTATCGGTGGCAGATAGTATGTTACTTGGCGGTGTTCAATATTGGATTTCTGGAGAAAATCCGATTTCTTTTGTCTTCAATTTTAATCATATATGTTCGGCTTTAATTAAAACAATGGTTCTTGGTGTTCATAGTAGCCGACTTGTGAATTATCTTAATAGTCAAGTACAAAAACAATCAAGACGAGCCCCGAGCAAAAACGCTCAGAAAATTACGAAGATATATATAGAGCAATTAGACTATAAAAAAACGATATCATTGAAATATCATCTTATATCTTAATCATTATCTAATTGTTCTTGTTTTTCTTTAAAGTGCTACTTCAATGAAAATGCCCTTATTTCAAAACTTCAAGAAGTACAAATATATGAATCATTTCCATCTATTAAAAACAATTGCGGGAAAATATTTGTTTTGGAATTATCCCACATCAGAGAAATTTTGATTCAAAAGATAGAAGAACAAAAGGATGGAGTAAATGACGTCATTTACTCTAACAGGTTTTGCCCAAATTATTAAGGATTTGTATCAATATCTTCTTGAAGTCTGTTGCTTCATGATTGCTAGACCCATATGGATAAGTCTATTTGATTTCAAAGTCTTTTCTAATGTTTTGCAATTTTCGTCCAAGTAGCCCTTTCAAGAAAATAAAAACTGCTTTTCATATGCGATTGGGATTCCTGTGCTTTAAGTGCGCGCGGTTTCCATGTCATGACGTCACAATCAATTGTAAGCATTTCCATTGGGAAGGATCTTTTAATTTGCAGAACGCATGCCTTTTTTTAAGCGTAAAAGATAAGTGAACAGACTAGTTTATCACCGTTTTCACTACAAGAAATTTCAAAATACGGCAATTTAATTCGGCTTTATTTTTTATAAAGCAAGCTCATTAAGCAAGCTTTTTTGTCTTTTTATGCTTGGCTGAGCCTAGCTGACCTAGTGCTTTTGCTAAGCATTCACGTACCGAGCGTCATATGCAATATATAGCATTTGATATTTATCTAAAGTACTTCAAAAATTCGAAACAGTAATCCCATATATGGCTGTGGAGCTCGTCTACCAGGCCTCTAAAGGACACTCGTCTATGGTCCGTAAGCTGTTAGAAAATGGAATTCATCCTGATGCCTGCAACGGTAATGGAGAGACCGCATTGTTTCACGCAGTGTTGGCGGAAAAACTTGGAACGGCTAAGGTGCTTTTAAAGTATGGTGCGGATCCAAATAGGTATGAAAAAGGCTATTTCAGATTTATATGTATTAGG